TCCGCCCATCTCGGCCTCCCAAAGTGTTGGGACTACAGGCTTGAGCCACTGTGCCCTGCCAATAGTCTGTTCTTTGCAGCCTAAAGCATCCTGACGAATACACTTCAGTTATAAAATTTATTGCTGGTAATGCCAGTGCATTTCCTGAAAACAATCTTGTTTGTATTGCAAAGATCAGATAGTAATTATTATAAGGAAAATTATAATCCACTGATTTGTGGTATGTTTTCAAGACAGAGTCTCACTCTGTCGCCCAGGCTGGAGTGCAGTGGCACGATTTTGGCTCACTGCAACCTCCACCTCCCAGCTTCAAGTGATTCTCCTGCCTCAGCTTCCTGAGTAGCTGGGATTACAGGTGCCCGCCACCATGCCCGGCTAATTTTTGTATTTTTAGTAGAGATGGGGTTTCACTATGTTGGCCAGGCTGGTCTCAAACTCCTGACCTCAAGTGATCCTCTTGCCTCGGCCTCCTAAAGTGCTGAGATTACAGGCGTGAGCCACTGTGCCTGGCCAAGCATCAGTTCTTAAAACAGTTAAGGTGGCAGAACAGGAGTTCTTTTAGAATGACGATTTTCAATGTGGGTATTTCAACATCATAATAGTCATCTTCAGGTTCAATATAGCTTAGGATGGAAACTATCTTCTTCTTTCTTTCTTTTTTTGGAAACGGAGTCTCACTCTGTCGCCCAGGCTGGAGTGCAATGTCATGATCTCAGCTCACTGCAACTCCGCCTCCCAGATTCAAGCAATTCTCCTGCCTCATCTTCCCAAGTAGCTGGAATTACAGGTGCCCGCCACCACGCCCGGCTAATTTTTTGTATTATTAGTAGACCCGGAGTTTCACCATGTTGACCAGGCTGATCTCGAACTCCTGTCCTCAGGTGATCCACCCGCCTCGGCCTCCCAAAGTGCTGGGATTCCAAGCATGAACCATCACACCCGGCCCTTATTTCTAACTTTATTTATTGATGAGTATGTATTCAATAGGTGACGGGGTTTCCTGTGGTACTGGAATATACAAAAAGATCCTATGAAATCTTGATATATTTAAATCTGTCATCCAAACTGGTAACAATTTCCCTAGTAGAAAACTTGGCTTTATTATACGTTCCCAGTATAAAGTCTCAGACAAATTACTCATGTTGAGAGAAAAAAATTTTTTTTTTTTTGTCAAACCGATTGATAGATTTTCCATGAATGTTCAACAGTCAATAAATATTGCCTACCATGTGACAGGCTTTGTGCTGGATATTGGGAATATAGCAGTGAGACAATTTCCATCCCAAAGGAGCCCCCAGATTAGAATGGAGAATGGCAAGTAACCAGGTAATTATAATTATAATATAGAATAATGATAATACAAAGGGAGAAGTAGTTCCATAAGGCCAAGTATGGGAGCTGTGAGAGCTCAGAGGAGTTCATTGATTCATCCATTCGACCCAATTGATTATTCAACATATTTATTGAGCATCTACAATGTGCCTGGGTACTGTGCTAGGAACAGGGAAAACAATAGAGGAAAGAAGGACATATCCCCTGCCCTCATGTTGCTTTGGGTCTAGTGGAGGAGAGAGACAGATACGCAATAATTATAACATGCTAATGCTATGAAAGGAGAGCATCCAGGAGGCACCAACCCACGTTGGGTCATGAGGAAAGGGTAGCCGAGATGAAATGGGAAGGATCCAAAGGTGGGGAAGAATGTTTCCTACAGAGGAATAGCGCTGTGCACAGGGGCAAGAGGGACCATAGTGAAGGTCATTTTATTATTATTATTATTATTATTATTTGAGATGGAGTCTTGCTCTTTTGCCCAGGCTACAGTGCAGTGGTGCAACCTAGGCTCAGTGCAACCTCTGCCTCCCAGGTTCAGGTGATTCTCCTGCCTCAGCCTCCCAAGTAGCTGGAATTACAGGCATGTGCCACCATGCCCGACTGAGTTTTGTATTTTTAGTAGAGACGGGTTTTCACCATCTTGGTGAGACTGGTCTCAAACTCCTGACCTCATGATTCACCCGCCTAGGCCTCCCAAAGTGCTGGGATTACAGGTGTGAGCCGCTGTGCCTGGCCTGTGAAGGTCATTTTAAATGGCTGGAGCAGAAAACTCGGGCGGAGTGGAGGTTGCAAGGGGGTGGGGAGAGAAGAGTTTGGCAAAAGATAATCAGTGACGAGATCCTGACAAATCTTGTAAGCCATGTTAAGGGGTTTGGTCTTTTTCTGGGGTTAACGGGCAAAGAGAAGATTTAGGCAAAGGAACAAAGTGGTCAGATGTTCACTTTAGCAAGTCCCTGGGTGCCATGTAGAAAGTGGACTGTAGGTGAGATGCCAGAGGCAGGGGAATAGTTGGGGGGGGAGGGGCTCTTGTTCTCTTGCAGGTGCTGGCAATGATCCGTCCTCAGAACAGTGATGGAGAGACGTGGACTCATTGGAGAACCACGTGGGAGGCACAAGTAGCATGGGGAACTCTGGAAACAAAGCAGTGTGGGGAGAAGGATACTGGTTTCTGACTTCAGCAACTAAGAAGATAGTAGAACACAAGACATTTGGGACTGGAGGTAGGTCATCAGTTCCTTTTGGTGTATGCTGAACTTGACGGGGGGTCTGTGGGGCAGTCACAGGCAGATGTCTTTGAGGCAACCCCGCTGGAACTGGAGAGAAAGAGCTCAGCTGAAGTCAGAATAGAGGGGGCAGCCGGGCACGGTGGCTCACATCTGTAATCCCAGCACTTTGGGAGGCTGAGGCAAGCGGATCATTTGAGGTCAGGAGTTCGAGACCAGCCTGGCCAGCATTGTGAAACCCCATCTCTACTAAAAACACACAAAAAATTAGCCAGGTGCGGGCGTGTTGGCACACACCTGTAATCCCAGCTACTCAGGAGGCTGAGGCAGGAAAATCGCTTGAACCTGGAAGGGGGAGGTTGCAGTGAGCTGAGATTGTGCCACTACACTCCAGCGTGGGTGACAAAATGAGACTCGGTCTCAAAAAAAAAAAAAAAAAAAATTGGAGGGGCCCACTGAGCTCATGGACACTGGTGAGATCACTCGTGAGTGTTGGAGGCAGGTAGGCAGAGACACAGGGACAGAACCTGAAGAAGACCAGCATTGAAGAAATGCTTTAGAAAGAGTGGGTGGCCCCAAAATGAGATGGAGACAGGAGGAGAACCAGGAGAGGGTGGCGTCCCAGAAACCAAGCAAGAGTCAACATTTGTCTCGTATTTCTTTTTAACTTTTGTCACAGGCATGGAGGGTTTACAGAACATTTGTAAGAAGCAAGCATGTGTTTGAAACACTCCAGTCCTTTGGCTTATTTTTGTTCTATAATTTGGGAAGAGTCCTCTCTTTGGCTATACCAGAGTCCCGTAAGGCCATAGTTAGAGAACTGCTGGCCTAACATAAGGAGGGTTTATTTATTTATTTATTCTTATTTTTTGAGATGGAGTTTCACTCTTGTTGCCCAGGCTGGAGTGCAATGGTGCATTCTTGGCTCACCACAACCTCCGCCTCCCGATTTCAACCGATTCTCCTGCCTCAGCTTCCCGAGTAGCTGGGATTACAGGCATGCGCCACCAAGCCTAATTTTGTATTTTTAGTAGAAATGGGGTGTCTCCATGTTGATCAGGCTGGTCTTGAACTCCTGACCTCAGGTGATCTGCCCTCCTCGGCCTCTCAAGGAGGTATTAATAGCAAGGTGGAAGCCTTCATAGAGTCTAGAAAGAGAGAACCAGGGAGGAAGGCCAGGTCCCCAGTGTTCCAGTGTTGATTGAGGGAGAAAACTTGAAAATAGGAGGAACGCATTTTCCCATCTCTTGAGGGAAAGTTCCGTCTGAGAGTCACTCTCAGGCTTTTCCAGGTCCACAGAGCTCTCTCTGCAAGCCTGTTCATTTGCCAGATTTCCCAGAGGTTGCTTAGAAACCAGAATCTTGTGAGTATAGTGAGAATGAGTCAAGTCCTAGGGCTCTAACAGATCAGCTGGAAGGAACTGATGAGGTCTAAGAGCATATAAAACTGACTCGGGCCTCGTTGGCCCCATTAGGACACTTGTTTAACAAAACATCAGCCCACGTCCCTGGCATCTCATTGGCTACAGCACATCATACTGGACCTTCTGTCTCCTCCCAGATGCCCAGGGACAGTGATCTGGAAGGAAGGGGCTTGAGGCTGTTTTCATAGAACTTGAGGAAGTACTGATGAAAATGATGGACAGGCCAGGCACGGTGGCTCACGCCTGTAATCCCAGCACTTTGGGAGGCCAAGGCAGGCGGATCACAAGGTCAGGAGATCGAGACCATCCTGGAAAACACGGTGAAACCCTGTCTCTACTAAAAATACAAAAAAATCAGCTGGGCGTGGTGGCGGGTGCCTGTAGTTCCAGCTACTCAGGAGGCTGAGGCAGGAGAATGGTGTGAACCCGGGAGGCGGAGCTTGCAGTGAGCCAAGATCGCACCACTACACTCCAGCCTGGGCGACAGAGCAAGACTCCGTCTCAAAAAAAAAAAAAAAAAGAAAAGAAAATGATGGACAGGGGATGTTAAGCCCCCTGAACTCTCATCTTGAATATGCCATTGGTACGTGCCCCTTTTCTTTCCTGTTCCCTATGATTTTTCATGGGGGAAATCTGTTTTTCCTGTAGCACCCCCAACACACCTATTGCAAATGATGCTTCTCGGTGTAAATCAGAAGGTAACTTTTGTCCTTTGTCCATTGTTACAGTATAACTTGCAAGCACAGGGCAAAAACACAGGGTAAATCTCTGTGGTCAAGTTGGCCTATGTCATATAAAGGCACTGGGGTTTTCTGGGTGTCTAGGTGGGGAGGGTTCACAAGAGTAAAAGGTACTCCCTGCCCTTGCAAACTTGCGAGATGTGGTATGGGAGCCTGGGCACAAGAGCACTCAGCTGTAACTCACCCATGGCCTCACATTGCAGGAGGTGGGTGGGGTGAGAGGGTAAAGACCAGCATGCTTGGTGAGGGCCTTGCTGGGGATGGGAGCCTGGGAGGGTCTGCAACACCAAATGCAGAGATTTCAGATCACTCAGAACCATGCAAACCAAAGGGAATGAAGGGGGAAAGAGTGCCAAGAAATGAGTAGTTTCTCACAGGTGGGAGCCATGGAGCCCCATGGTCCTTCCCGTGGAAACTTCCCTCAACAACGCAAGGCTGACCCCTCTAAGTCCTCAGAGCCGAGCACCCATGTCTCTCCTCTGGCTGCGGTCGTCTGATTGCCGGGGTGCCTTCATCTAAGGTTTGGCAAGTGCTTTATCTTAGAGAGCTTCATAAAATCACCACTGGCTCTCAGGGCCCAGAGACCTACTGAAGTTAACCATTCTTCATTGTTTTAAAATAAGTCGTGTGAACCCTCTTCAGTTTTGTCAAAAAAAAGAAATGGCTGTTTCAAAATGATGCTTTTCAGTATTTGCAGGGATTTCAACATCGTCATAGTCATCTTCAGGTTCAATGTAGCTTGGGATGGAAACAGTCTTCTTATTTTTAACTTTATTTACCAATGAGTATGTAGGTGGCGACTGACTTGGGGTTTCCTGTGGGGCTAGAATACACAAAAAGTTCCTTAGATGCAAAGCTATCATGTGTTTTTATATTTTTGACGCAGTGGCTCAGTGTGATTTTCACGTTTCAGTGATCTTCCCACTTCTAGTGGGCCAGATCCCCATTTTACAGAGGAAATTCAGATGCAGATCTGACACAGTCTCCGGATCACCCAAGTGAGTAAATGGAAAATATTAGTCAGACATCTTGACTCCCGTATCTTTGCCTAAGACTGCCCTGCATGGAAACCATGAAGCAAAACCTTAGAAAAGAAACAGACCAGGTCAGGTGCAGGAGCTCACACCTGTAATCCCAGTACTCTGGGAGGCCGAGGTGGGAGGATCACTTGAGCCCAGGAGTTCCAGACCAGCTTGGGCAACACAGGGAGACCTCGTCTCTACAGAAAAATTTAAAAATTAGCTGGATGTGGTGGTGCACGCTTATAGTCCCAGCTACTTGGGAGGCTGAGGCAAGAGGATCTCCTGAGCCCAGGAGGTTGAGGCTACAATGAGCCATGATCACACCACTGCACTTCAGTCTGGACAATGTAGTAAGACCCTGTCTCAAAAAAAAAAAAAAAAAAAGAATGGATGAAAAGAAACAGACCAGAGCCCAGTAGTCATGAGTGCTGTTGTGTTACAGATCCTAATTTTCACAAGGAAGTGAAATAAATCATATTTCCTTTTTGGCACATCCCTTCCAGTGACTTACACTGTTTTCCAGGACTCTTCGTAATTGCTTATGTACAAATCTCTCTGCTAAGAAGAAAGGGGATGGCATTATTTTCAAAAGGTGGAATTAGTACAGAACAGGTCCATAGGAGGCCAGAGGTGGTGGCTCACGCCTGTAATCCCAGCACTTTGGGATGCTGAAGTGGGCAGATCACCTGAGGTCAGGAGTTCAAGACCAGCCTGGCCAACATGGTGAAACCCCGAATCTACAAAAATACAAAAATTAGCTGGGTGTGATGGTGGGTGCCTGTAATCCCAGCATCTCAGGAGGCTGAGACAGGAGAATTGCTTGAACCCAGGTGGTAGAGGTTGCAGTGAGCCTTTATAGCATCACTGCACTCCAGCCTGGGCAACAGAGTGAGGCTATGTCTCAAAAAAAAAAAAGAAAAGAAAAGAAAAGAAAAGAAAAACAAAAAAACAAAAAGAACAGGTCTATAAGTAATAGAAGGATGATGAAACAGCTTGAAACAGCTCAGCTCCATCTTTGATGGGGATAGGAACTGCCTCTCCCACAATCTCATCATTTCCTAAGAAAACCTGAAATGCCACTATTTGCAGAACTCTGCAGTTTGACAGACCCGAGTTCATGTTCAGGTTCCAGCACTCATTAGCTGTGTTACTATAGGTAAGCCACTTATCTGTGCCTCAGCATCCTCATCTGTCAAAGGGGAATAAAAATGTACCTGGCTTGGGCCGGGCACGGTGGCTCATGCCTGTAATCCCAACACTTTGGGAGGCTGAGGTAGGCGGATCACCAGGTCAGGAGTTCGAGGCCATCCTGGCTAACACAGTGAAACCTGGTCTCTACTAAAGACACAAAAAAAATTAGCCGGGCGTGGTGGCGGGCACCTGTAGTCCCAACTACTCAGGAGGCTGAGGCAGGAGAATGGCGTGAACGTGGCAGGCGGAGCTTGCAGTGAACCAAGATCACACCACTGCACTCCAGCCTGAGTGACAGAGCGAGACTCTGTCTCAAAAAAAAAGTACCTGGCTTGTAGAGTTGTTGTGAGGACTGAATGAGCTAATACCTGTAAAGTGCTTAGTGTGGGACCTGAAACACAGCGCATGCTCAGTAAATGGTAGCTAATATTGTTTATCTAGCCAATCAAAATATTTTTCTTAAGTATCGACTAAGCCTCATGCCCTGCTCTAGGTAGTGGATAAATATGAATAGTGGTGGACAAGAAAGGTTCCTGTTTTCCTGAAGTTTATACTCCAGTGGAGGAGATCAGTAATACACAAATGAACAAGTAAATAACACAATTTTGGATAACTGTCAGTTTCATAAAGGAAATTAGCAGGACTACTTTAGGTTGAGTGGTCAGAGAGGGCCTCTTTGAGGTGGTGACTTTTGAGCTGACATCTGAAGGATGAGGAAAATCCAGCTATGCAAAGAGCTTAAGGAAGAACATTCCAGTCAAAGGAACCAGGCAGAGTTTTTCTGATAGGAAGTGAGAGGGGCCTAGTGACACCCCATGTTTCTTTCTGTTTATGTTCCAAGCTGGAATCTGAACATGAATTTACACATTTATATCAGGATATTGGGGGCGTTGGTACTTATTCTGCCCCCTTTTTTCTTTTTCTTGTTTTTTTTGAGACAGGGTCTCACTCTGTCATCCAGGCTGGAGTGCAGTGATTTGCTATCATAGCTCACTACAGACCTTCTAGGCTCAAGCGATCCCCCAACCCCAGCCTTCCAAGTAGCTGGGACTATAGGTGTGCGCCATCACGCTGGCTGATTTTTGTAAAGATAGGATTTTGCCATGTTGCCCAGACTGCTCTCAGACTCCTGAGCTCAAGTCAACTGTCCGCCCTGGCCTCCCAAAGTGTTGGAATTACAAGCATATGCCGCTGTGCCTGGCCTCTGGCTCTCTCTTTTAAACAGGATGCTGGTTGGGTGTGGCGGCTCATGCCTGTAATCCCAGCACTTTGGGAGGTCGAGGCAGGCGGATCACTTAAGGTCAGGAGTTCAAGACCAGCCTGGCCAATATGGTGAAACCCCATCTCTACTAAACATACAAAAAATTAGCTGTGTGTGGTGCTGTGCGCTGATAATCCCAGTTACTCAGGAGGCCAAGGCAGGAAAACAGCTTGAACCTAGGAAGTGGAGATTGCAGTGAGCCGAAATCACGCCACTGCACTCCAGCCTGGGTGAGAGAGCAAGACTCTGCCTCAAAAGTAAAATAATCAGGATGCTGAATCTATAAATCCTAGTGCTCAGACTGAATGTTTGTGTCCCCCCAAAATTCATGTGTTCAAGCCTTAACCCCCAGTGAGGCTATATGTGGCCATAGGGATGAGGCCTTGATCCAACAAGATCAGTGTCCTTGTAAGAAGAAACACCAGAAATCTGGCTCCCCGACGCTCTTCCCCAGCTTGAATGCACCAAGGAAAGGCCATTTGTGGGGACATAGCAAGAAGGCACCTGTCTGCAAGCCAGGAGGAGAGCCCTCACCAGAAACCTCACAGAAATCGGCCAGCACCCTCATCTCGGGCTTCCAGTCTCAGAACAACGAGAAAACAAATTTCTGTTGGGTAAGCACCCCAGTCTATGGTATTTTTGTTACAGCAGCCTGAGCTATCTAAGACACCGTGATAGGGGCCAGGCGCCGTGGCTCACGCCTGTAATCCCAGCACTTTGGGAGGCCGAGGTGGGTGGACCACGAGGTCAGGAGATCGAGACCACAGTGAAACCCCGTCTCTACTAAAAATACTAAAAAAAAAAAAAAATTAGCTGGGCGTGGTGGCGGGCACCTGTAGTCCCAGCTACTTGGGAGGCTGAGGCAGGAGAATGATGTGAACCCGGGAGGCGGAGCTTGCAGTGAGCTAGTGAGCCGAGATCGCGCCATTGCACTGCAGCCTGGGTGAGAGAGTGAGACTCCATCTCAAAAAAAAAAAAAAAAAAAAAAAGACACCTTGATAAACTTGTTATCCTACCCTAAATGAAACTGCTACCAGTAAAATATACTTACAGGAGTCTTCTAGAGAAGGCCAATTCCTTGGTGGCAGAGGCGGTAATTGAACTGGCGACTCATTAAGAACATTCCTAGAGAGACAGAAAGAGAGAATCAGTGTTTGATTTAGGCCATGTCTGTTCCCAGCAGATTTAAGAGAAAACATCAAGGAAAGTGAATGGGTTGAACATTCAAATCTTGGTCCTTACGAATCGGAAGCATTTCCTTTCCTTTGTAGGTCCTGGATCCCATTTGTAATTGGCACCCTAATGAAACCGTTTCCTCTAGCCCAGGAAATGGCTGAAACTGAGGGGAAGGAAATAAAGTGCTACAATTCAGAGCATGGAGCATACCTTCCTGGTTCACCTGAGCTGATTTAGGAGTGGTAGGCACCAGATGTATTTCTATTTGCAAAACAGATGAGCTAGGCATGGTGGCTCACGCCTGTAATCCTAGCACTTTGGAAGGCTGAGGTGGGTGGATCACCTGAGGTCAGGAGTTCCAAACCAGCCTGGCCAACATGGTGAAACCCTGTCTCTACTAAAAATACAAAAATTAGCCGGACATGATGATGCTCACCTGTAATCCCAGCTACTTGGGAGGCTAAGGCAGGGGAATCGCTTGAACCTGGGAGGCGGAGGTTGCAATGAGCCAAGATCATACTACTGCACTCTAGCCTAGGCAACAGAGCGAGACTTTGTCTCAAAACAAACAAAAAAACCCAAAAAACAAAAAACAGATGAACTCCTAAAACAGAATGTACACACACCTTGAGACCACATTCCCACTACTGGGTCTACAGCCTATCGAAATGCTCACATATGTTCACCAAAACATGCATTAGAATGTTCAGAGCAACACTATTCATAACAGCTCCAAATTGGACACTACCTGTGTTAGTCTGGGTTGTCCAGAGAAGCAGAGACACATAAAATTTGCCATCATACAACCCAAATGCCCATCAGCAGTAGAATGGATAGATTAATTATAGTATAGCGACTGGGCAAGGTGGTTAACATCTGTAATACCAGCACTTTGGGAGGTGAAAGTGGGAGGACAGCTTGAGCCCAGGAGTTTAAGGGTAATACAGGGAGACCCTGAGCAACACAGGGAGACCCTGTCTCTACAAAAGAATCAAAATAATTAGCTGGTTATAGTGGCATACACCTGTAGTCCCAGCTACTCAGGAGACTGAAGCAGGAGGATCACTTGAGCCCAAAATCTGAGGTTACAGTGAGCTATGATTGCACCACTGTACTCCAGCCTGGTTGAGCGTGAGACCCTGTCTCAAAAAATAAATAAATAGTGGTGTACTCCCACAGTGGAATGTTCTATAGCAACAAGAATGAATAATCTACAACCACACACAATGAATCTCATAAAAATGATGTAAGCAAAAAAGCCAAACACCAAATAATATATACTGTATGATGCCATTAATAGATTGCATAAAAACTAAAAAGCTGCCTGGCGCAGTGGCTCACACCGGTAATCCCAGCACTTTGGGAGGCCAAGACGGGCAGATCATGAGGTCAGGAGATTGAGACCAGCCTGGCCAACATGATGAAACCCAATCTCTACTGAAGGTCTCAAACTCCCGACCTCAGGTGATCCACCCGCCTCGGCCTCCCAGATCTGGGATTACAGGTGTGAGCTGCCACACCTGGCCCCCGTTGTATTCTTTTAAAAGGCAGTATTTTAGTCACCTGTCTTATTCCTGAAGGGGATCAGAATTGATGGAGGCAGGGGGAGTCTTATTTGCTGGATCCCTGAAGCTACAGTCAAAGGCATTTTAGAAAAGCATAGATTTAACAATGTTTTGTATACGGTGTCTCACTATGTTGTCCAGGCTGGTCTTGAACTTCTGGCCTCAAGTGATACTCCCACCTTGGCCTCCCAAAGTGCTGACATTACAGGCATGAGCCACTGCACCTCGCCCCAAGAGTAAGTTTTGTTTTAGATAGTGTGTATATTCCAAAGAAAGGACTGGCTCTTGACTGGCTCCTGGGAAATAATGTCTAAACCCTTGGAATAGCCTCCCTAATAAGAGTGTCTCCAGCCAGGCGTGGTGGCTCATGCCTGTAATCCCAGCACTTTGGGAGGACGAGATGGGTGGATCACGAGGTTAGGAGTTCAAGACCAGCCTGGACAACATGGCGAAACCCCATCTCTACTAAAAATACAAAAAATTAGATAGTCGTGGTGGCGGGCACCTGTAGTCCCAGCTACTTGGGAGGCTGAGGCAGGAGAATGGCATGAACCTGGGAGGCGGAGCTTGCAGTGAGCCGGGATCACGCCACTGCACACTAGCCTGGGTGACAGAGCGAGACTCCGTCTCAAAAACAAAAAGTGTCTTTGAGGCCAGGCATGGTGGCTCACACTTGTAATCCCAGCACTTTGGGAGGCCAAGGTGAGTGGATCACTTGAGGTCAGGAGTTCCAGATCAGCCTGGCCAACATGGTGAAATGCCGTCTCTACTAAAAATACAAAAATTAGCCAGGCATGGTAGCGGGTACCTGTAATTCCAGCTACTTAGGAGGCTGAGGCAGGAGAATCACTTGAACTTGGGAGGCAGAGGTTGCAAGGAGCCGAAATCACGCCTTCGCCCACAAGCCTGGGTGACAGAGTGAGACTCCGTCTCATAAATAAATAAATAAATAAATAAATAGTGTCTTTGTATATCTGGGAGCCTTGGGCCGCACCAGATAGTTTATGTTAATAATGTGGTTTATGGTGAATGCCTGTTTTTGTTTGCCTGGGGCCCTGGGCCATGTTTTCTCAATTTGATAAAGCTAAATGCAGGTATTCTGTGCCTGCATGACTAACCGCCAGTAAAAGAAAAACTCTGTACTCCAAGGCTCAGGTGAGCTTCTCCAGTCAGCAGTGCTTCACATCTGTTACCACACATTGTTACTGGGAGAACTGGGGCTATCTGTGAGACGTCACTGGGAGAGGACTTGCCTGCTTTCCGCTCGACCCCACACTACCTGCCTTTTTCATTTGCTGATTTTAATCTGTATTCTTTTGCCATAATATACTGTAACTGTTGAGTAAAATAGCTTTTCTAGGTCCTGTGAGTGCTTCTAGTAAATTCTCAAGCCTAAGGATGGCCTTGGAGATCCTCAATGCAGATATTGGCCATAAAGCCCCAAACAGATCACAAAACACAAAAGTAAAGTGGATGGCATCTTTTCCTTCAGCACAGTAGCTTTCGGAGCACTATATTTGGAATCCACCAAAAAAAAAAGAAGTATAGACTAGGCGTGGGGCCCAGAACACAGAGTCCAACCTGTGACCTTTGTCAGAACAGATGAGAGTAGGCTGGGCCCGGTGGCATGTGCGTGTAATCCAGCTACTTGGGAGGATGAGGTGGGGGAATTGCTTGAGCCCAGGAGTTTGAGACCCACAGGAGTTTTAGAGCTGCCCGGGCAACATAGCAGACCCTATCTCAAAAAAAAAAAAAAAAAAAAAAAAAGAGGCCAGGTGCAGTGGCTCACATCTATAATCCCAGCACTTCGAGAGGCCAAGGTGGGTGGATCATGAGGTCAGGAGTTTGAGACCAGCCTGGCCAACATGGTGAAACCACATCTGTACTAAAAATACAAAAATCAGGCAGGCGTGATGGTGGGTGCCTATAATCCCAGCTACTTGGGAGGCTGAGGCAGGAGAATTGCTTGAACCCAGGAGGTGGAGGCTGCAGTGAGCTGAGATGGCACCAATGCACTCCAGCCTGGGCGACAGAGCAAGACTCCGTCTCAAAAAAAAAAAAAAACAGAGAGAGACAAGAAGGAGGGGGGACTTGCCCAGCATTGACAGTGTCCTGAGTCTCTGCCCTTATGTGGAGAGATTTGGCAGGTGTGACATCTCACCAGCTCTACAGGAAATGCAGATGTCTCAGTCATACTGGTACAGAGTGGAGGGGCAAGAGTGGAAGTGAACAGGCAGTTCTCAACAGTAAAAAGCAGAAGGATTCCTCCCCACTTACTCATACATTTTTTCTTCATCTGCTTGCTTGTTTTTCAAGGGCTTGGCAATTTCCCATTTCTTGCCTAAGAGAAGGAAAAGCATGTTCATTGAAGAAGAATTAGCAAAAGTTGTGATTTTCGAATTGAACCCAGAAAAAACACACTTAGGGACACAGAGTTAATAAATGATAGAACTGGACTTTGAATCCAGACTGTCTGACCACAGAGCCTCTGCACTAACCCAGTGAGGGCGGGCACAGTGTGGGTGGTGTCTATTTCCTCTATGCCTGGCACTTAGGTGGCACTTAGAAATGTTAGTCGAATGAATAATCAAAAGTGTGGTTGGGAGGAAATCAGATAAAGCCTCGGAAAAGCAGTTTGTATCCTGTAATGTGCTGGACATATAAGTTGTCATAAATTATAACCTGCTTGTTAATAGGAGTGGTTGAGGATAAAAAGAAAGGAGGTAAAGTTTTAGTTCAGGGTCATTCTTTTGTCCATATTTGAGAATGGAAACTTTTTTTTTTCCCCACAGACAGAGTCCTGCTCTTGTTGCCCAGGCTGGAGTGCAGTGGCGCAATCTAGGCTCACTGCAACCTCTGCTCCCCGGGTTCAAGCGATTCTCCTGCCTCAGCCTCCAGAGTAGCTGAGATTACAGGCGCCCATCACCGCACCTGGCTAATTTTTGTATTTTTAGCAGAGACGGGGCAGGGGGTTTCACCATGTTGGCCAGGCTGGTCTCGAACTCCCGACCTCAAGTGATCCACCCGCCTCGGCCTCCCAAAGTGCTGGGATTACAGGTGTGAGCCACTGCACCTGGTGGGAATGAAAACTTTTAAGAAGGCAAAAGGAGGCCAGGCACTGTGGCTCACACCTGTAATCCCAGCACTTTGGGATGCCAAGGCTGGAGGATCACTTGAGGTCAGGAGTTCAGGACCAACCTGGCCAACATGGTGAAACCCTGTGTCTACTAAAAATTCAAAAATTATCCAGGCATGATGGCATACGCCTGTAATCCCACCTGCTGAAGAGAATGAGGCAGGAGAATCACCTGAACCTAGGAGGTGGAGGTTGCAGTGAGCCCAGATCACACCACTGCACTGCATCCTGGATGACAGAGACTCCATCTGAAAAAAAAAAAAAGGGCAAAGGACAGAGGACTGTAGGGTCTCAGAATACACTTTTTGTATTAAAAAAATTAATTACGATAGAGGAGAAAGAACACTGAATGGAAGCCCAGCAGGCCTGAGTTCTGGTCCCAACTCTGCCACCCATTCTTATGGCACCTCAGTGAAGCTCTCATCTTCCTTTGAACCTTAATTTTCTTTTTCTTTTTTTTTTTTGAGACGGAGTCTGGCTCTGTCGCCGGGGCTGGAGTGCAGTGGCCAGATCTCAGCTCACTGCAAGCTCCGCCTCCCGGGTTTTACGCCATTCTCCTGCCTCAGCCTCCCGAGTGGCTGGGACTACAGGCGCCTGCCACCTCACCCGGCTAGTTTTTTTTTGTATTTTTTAGTAGAGACGGGGTTTCACCGTGTTAGCCAGGATGGTCTTGATCTCCTGACCTTGTGATCCGCCCGTTTCGGCCTCCCAAAGTGCTGGGATTACAGGCTTGAGCCACCGCGCCCGGCCTGAACCTTAATTTTCTTATCTCTAAAGAGAGATTGAGAAGAATGACAGAAAGATTTCACTTCTTGTCTATCTGTGACCTGCCAGCACTGAGCTGGGCTGAGCAGGAATCTGGAGGCTGTGACCAGATACAGTGAGTGGATAGTGGCTTCATCATTGAGGGATGCCAGTCCAGGGTGCCCCAGGGAAGGTGGCTGTACCTCTCAGTGTGATTACCATCCCTAGGTATACTCCCTGCTTAGGTCATTGTTGTTGTTGTTTTTGTTATTATTATTTTGAGATGGACTCTCGCTCTGTTGCCCGGGCTGGAGTGCAGTAACACCGTGTCAGCTCACTGCAACCTCTGCCTCCCGTGTTCAAGCGATTCTCCCACCTCAGCCTCCTGAGTAGCTGGGATTACAGACACCCACCGTCACGCCCGGCTAATTTTTGTATTTTCAGTGGAGATGGGGTTTTGCAATGTTGGCAGGCTGGTCTTGAACTCCTGACCTTAAGTGAGCCGTCTACCTTGGCCTCCCAAAGTGCTGGGATTACAGGCATGAGCCACTGTGCCCAGCCAGGTTGTTATTTAAAGGGATGAGATGTCAAGATAACACACCATTGAATCAAGGCTTTCATGTTTCTGGAGATGAACAGGAAAGTGGAAACCCCACTTACAGATAATCTAAAGTTAGTGTTAATCCCCAGACCACTTATTTATGTCTGAGGGTACCAAGAGGTTTCTGGTCTAGGTAATACCAGAAGATTCAGAGTATGGTCTCAGAGAAGGCAATCATAGTGGCCAAACATGTTGGCTGTGGGTTGAGTCCATATTTTATTACTCAAGAAAGTTTTTTTTTTTTTTTTTTTTGAGACAGTCTCACTCTTGTTTCCCAGGCTGGAGTGCAGTGGCGCGATCTCGGCTCACTGCAAGCTCCGCCTCCTAGGTTCACGCCATTCTCCTGCCTCAGCCTCCTCAGTAGCTGGGACTACAGGCGCCCGCCACCACGCCCGGCTAATGTTTTTGTATTTTTAGTAGAGACGGGGTTTCACCGTGTTAGCCAGGATGGTCTCGATCTCCTGACCTCATGATCTGCCTGCCTCGGCCTCCCAAAGTGCTGAGATTACAGGCGTGAGCCGCCGCGCCTGGCCGACAGTTCTTAATATTCCATATACTTGTGTTCTCTCAAGATGCTGTGATCAGTAGCCACATAGGAAAGAAAAAGCCCTTGAGCATACTGTGCCTTAAAACAGATTCTGCTTTCACCGGATGATTAGGGCTGGAAGGGCTCTTGGAGATTAGTTGACATCCCTCCTTTCACTACGCGGATGAGGAAACTGAGGCCTAGAGACATAATGTAGTGGCAGGGCTAGGACTCAAACCCAGAATGCAAGATGCTTAATCCAAAATTCAGCTCATTCAGGCCCAGGATTGATTTGCTTGCCCTAAAGGATCAGTGCGCTACTGCACTGATAACCACCGGGCTCCTCCCTCCACCTGCCCAGGTAAGATGGCCATTACCTTGTCGAAGCTGCCACTTACAGACACAATACAGGATGAGGCCCAGGCCCACAGAGACAACGATGATGGCCACAGCTAAGATGATCCAAAAATTGTTCCTCCACCAACTCATTGCAGTGGAATCCTGAGAAGAATGGAGAGACAAGAATGAGGCATGAATGAAAGATATCCTGGGGTGGGGTGGGGTGGGGCAGTTATCTACTGTGTTTTTGTTTTTGGTTTTTTTTTTGAGTCGGAGTCTTACTCTGTCACCTAGGCTGGAGTGCAGTGACATGATCTCAGCTCTCAGATCATTACAACCTCCACCTCCCGGGTTCAAGTGATTCTCCTGCCTCAGCCTGCAGAGTAACTGGGACTACAGGCACCTGCCACCACACCCAGCTAATTTTTATATTTTTAGTAGAGACGGGGTTTCACCATGTTGGCCTGGCTGGTCTCGAAATCCTGACCTCAGGTGATCCACCTGACTTGGTCTCTCAAAGTGCTGGGATTACAGGCATGAGCCACGGCGCCCAGCTAATCTACTGTGTTGTGTAGAGATGCAGACATCTGCTTAGGAATCAGGCGCTGGTTCACAGCCATACCCTACTGATTAACACCTGGGGGACCTCAGGCATGTCACTCGACCTGTAAGCCTCATCTGTAATATGGGGATGATACCTCCTACTTCAATACGGTTTGTGAGGACTGGAGATCAAGCATGGATCTACTGGGCCCTCTAGAAATGGTAGACATCATCACTGCTCTTTCAGACATGCAGCAGGAGGGGGAAGGTGCCATTTAAAGCAATAATTGACTGCAGGTTTTTTTTGGTTTTTTGTTTGTTTGTTTTTAAGCAGTCTTGCTGTGTTGCCCAGGGTGGAGTGCAGTGGCGCAATCTCAGCTCACTGCAACCTCTGCCTCCCAAGCAATTCTCCTGCCTCAGCCTCCTGAGTAGCTGGGATTAAAGGTGTGCGCCATCACGCCTGACTAATTTTTGTATTTTTAGTAGAGGCGGGGTTTCACCATGTTGGCCAAGCTGGTCTCGAACTCCTGACCTCGTGATCTGCCTGCCTCGGCCTCCCGAAGTGCTAGGATTATAGGCATGAGCCACTGCGCCCAGCCAGTTGTTTTTAATCACAAGGACAAGTCAGATTTAATACATAGCAGGGGAGAGAAATTTTAAGAGCTCTTGTTTGAGGTGAGGGTTAGAAAAATAGCTGGATGGGTCTCTTTGAGTGAGATACGGTCAGAAGGGTAAAACTGAAGAGATAGGGGCAAATTGAGTTGATCTGCATGAGAGAGTTAACAGGCATTTGGGGGCTGGAAGCTGACAGACCAGAGAGGGGAAAAATCTTGGAAAAGGTTAGCAGCAGAGAGAGAGGTCAAGAAGAGAACACCAAGTCAGAGCCTGGTTAGGAAGCTCCCGCAGTGGCAAATAACCAAGGCATTTATAGGACAGTAATGCCTCATGTCCAGCTTTAAATTGCTACCTAGGTTATGCTGTGGTTTCACCTTTTGTTACCATCAAACCTCCAATAAAACTGCATAACATGGCCGGGCGCAGTGGCTCACGCCTGTAATTCCGGCACTCTGGGAGGCTGAGGCAGGCAGATCACTTCAGGTCAGGAGTTCAAGACCAGCCTGGCCAACATGGCAAAACCCCATCTCTACTAAAAATATAAAAATTAGCTGGGTGTGGTGACTTGCACCTGTAGTCCCAGTTACTCGGGAGGCTGAGGCGGGAGAATTGCTTAAAGCCAGGAACGCTGAGGTTGCCGTGAGCCGAGATCACGCCACTACATTCCAGCCTGGACAACAGAGCAAGACTCCATCTCAAAACAAAAAGAAAGGCTGGGTGCAGTGGCTCACGCCTGTAATCTCAGCACTTTGGGAGGCTGAGGCGGGCAGATCACTTGAGGTCAGGAATTCGAAACCAGCTTGGCCATCATGGTGAAACCCCTTTTCTACTAAAAATACAAAAAATTAGCTGGGCATGGTGGTGCATGCCTGTAATCCCAGCTACTCAGGAGACAAAGAGGCAAGAGAATTGCTTGAACCCGGGAGACAGAGGTTGTGGTGAGCCGAGGTTGCGCCATTGCACTCCAGCCCAGGCAACAAGAGTGAGACTCCATCTCAAAAAAAACACTGATCTCAAAGAGAGAGAGTTGTGAGAACCCCAACTTTGAAGCTGGTTGCTCTCAAGTTCCAGAGGCCCAGACTTGCGACCAATGTCTGGGGAGTTGGGGGCAGCAGTCTTGGGGACTGAGCTGTGGGATCTGATGCTATCTCTGGGTCTATAGTGCTGGCATTGAATTGGAGAACACCCAGCTGGTGTTCACTGCTTGGTGTGTGGGAGAAAAAACCCGCACACGTTTGGTCACAGAAGCCCTTTTCTGTGTTGATGATTGTGGTGGTGTGTGAGAACAGAGGAAAAACACCGTTGGCAGAGTTTTCCTGAAACGATACTCTTTAGAGTGATAGAGATAAATACCAGGACCTGCGCATTCAAAGCTGTTGTATCTGGATTGTGACTGCGTGGAAGGAGGGGGCCGCGTGGAAGGAGGGGGCCGCGTGGAAGGAGGGGGCTGCGTGAAAGGATGAGGCGGGACGACAGGGACTGTTGCTTTTCGTTATAAACTCTCTGCATTACTGGATTTTTGCACTAGGTACATTTACTTTGATAACACTGAAAAGAAGAAATTCACCATGTAGTGTAGCCTCCAAGAAAAACTATTGCTTAGGTTTCAAGGTCAAGGAAATTTCATTCTCATCAGTTTCTCGGGAAGGAGGAAGTGGAATGATATTGTCAGAAAGTGAAACCCTGGGTCATTTTCAGAACTACTCAGAGTGATAAATATTTTTTGTCAGTTTTGTTCTTACAAATGAAATGGACTGCAGAGAGACACTTTTTTTTTCTTTTCTTTCTTTTTTTTTTTTTTTTTTTTTTGAGATGAGGTCTCGCTCTGTCCCCCAGGCTGGAGTGTGATGGCGCGATCTCGGCTCACTGCAACCTCCGCCTCCCTGGTTCAAGCGATTCTTCTGCCTCAGCCTCCCGAGTAGCTGTGATTACAGGTGTGTGCCACCATGCCCGGCTAATTTGTTTTGTATTTTTAGTAGAGACGGGGTTTCACCATGTTGGCCAGGCTGGTCTCGAACTCCTGACCTCAGGTGATCCACCTGCCTCGGCCTCCCAAAGTGTTGGGATTACAGGCGTGAGCCACCACGCCCGGCCGACACATTTTCAGCAGAACCAAGGAGAGCTTGCTTTTTGAGAGAGGGCAGCTGAGAGAGGGGACCTAAGAGAATCACATTCTAGTTCCAGTAGGAAGTCCTCTAGGCCACCAGGCTGGTTTAATGGCCAAGGTGCTTCCAGACAGGGGAAGCCCTGGGGAAGGATGACAGAGAGTATGGACAATGGGAAGATCACGATGGCTGCATGACCAAGTTCAGGCCCTGGGAAGGTATGGAAGCTGCATCCTACCTGTGCTAGCAGGCCTGGAGTTGTGGCCACAGAGGGCTGATAAGATTGTGAGTACAGGACTGCTGAGGGCTACTGAAGGATTACAAAGAAGTGTTTGCACTGGCTGAGTGCAGTGGCTCACGCTTGTAATCCTAGTACTTTGGAAGGCCAGGGCAGGTGGATCACTTGAGACCAGGAGTTCAAGATAGCTTGGGCGACACAGCAAGACCCTGTCTCTATACACACACACACAACACACAAACACACACTCACACGTAGCCGGGCGTGGTGTCATGCGCCCGTAGACCCAGCTACTCAGGAGGTTAAGCTCCTCCGCAGCTACTCAGGGGTTTCACCCTGCTGGCCAGGGTGGTCTTGAACTCCTGACCTCAAGTGATCCGTCCTCCTCTGCCTCCCAAAGTGCTGGGATTACAGACTCCCAAAGTGCTGGGATTACAGACGTGAGCCACCGCCCCACCCAGAATGAACTTTCAAAAGGGAACAAGGGCCAGGCACTGTGGCTCAAGCCTGTAATCCTAGCACTTTGGGAGGCTGAGACGGGCGGATCACAAGGTCAGGAAATCGAGACCATCCTGGCTAACACGGTGAAACCCCGTCTCTACTAAAAAGTACAAAAAACTAGCCGGGCGAGGTGGCGGGCACCTGTAGTCCCAGCTACTTGGGAGGCTGAGGCAGGAGAATGGCGTGAACCCGGGAGGCGGAGCTTGCAGTGAGCTGAGATCGCGCCACTGCACTCCAGCCTGGGCGACCGAGCGAAACTGTCTCAAAAAAAAAAAAAAAAAGGAACAAGGATTAGAGAAGGGAGTGACACCCAATAGAACCAGAACCGGAGAGAAGGGGCTTGGGGGCAGGAAGTTGAGAGCTCACACTTAAGTTTCCATTTCCTCTGAGTTGGGAGGCAAAATCAACAGCCTGGGGGCTGAGGTGGGAGGAGCTGGCTTGAGCAGAGCAGTCCAACAGCACACACCAACTCCTCCACCTTCCAGCCCAGCCCCCACTCCCCATTCCCATGGCGCTTTCTTCACGATTTCAGTTGATGGAGCCTTTCTTGTGAGGCTGTCCTTCCTCCTTGCCTGCTGCATCCCAAGGAGAGCTCCTCAGCTACATGAAGGGATGTCACTACCCCTGCAATATGTATATGTGAAATATGTTGGGTGTGGTAGCTCATGCCTGTAATCCCAGCACTTTGGGAGGCCGAGGCTCGCGGATCATGAGGTCAGGAATTCAAGACCAGCCTGGCCAACATGGTGAAACCCCGTCTCTACTAAAATACCAAAATTAGCCAGGCGTGGTGGTGGGTACCTGTAATCCCAGCTACTTGGGAGGCTGAGGCAGGAGAACTGTTTGACACTGGGAGGCGGAGGTTGTGCTGAGCCGAGATCGCGCCACTGCACTCCAGCCTGGGTGACAAAGCTAGACTCCTTCTCCAAAAAAAATTTAAAAAATAAAAAATAAGTTGGGCATTGTGGCATGCGCCTGTGGTCCCAGCTACATGGGAGGTTGAAGTGGAAGGATTGTTGGAGCCCAGGAAGTCGCGGCTGTAGTGAGCTGCAATCATGCCACTGCACTGGAGCCTGGGTGACAGAGCCAAATCTTGTCTCCAAAAAAAAAAAAAAAAAATGCATTGAGCACAGTGACTGACACCTATAATCTGAACACTT